TAAACAAAAGAACTGAAAGCAGGGCCTCAGATACTGGTACACCCATGCTCACAGCAGCATTATTCAATAGCTAAAAGTGAATAGTCAACACTCCAGAAATGCCCGTCAATGAATGACTAGATAAACAAAATGTGATACACACATGAGATGGAATATTAGCCTTAAAAAGAATGAAATTCTGATACATGCTACAACATGGATGAATCCTGGAAGCACTATGCTAAGTGAAGCAAGCCTGACATAAAAGGCCAAGTTATTCTATTTACGTGGGGTACTAATAGGCAAATTCACAGAGACAGGAAGTAGAAGAGAGGTTACCATGGGTTAGTGGGGAGGGGAAAACGTTATTGTTTATTAGATGCAGAGTTTCAGTTTGCGATGATGAAAATGTTCTGGAACAGTGGTAAATAGTTCTGAAACACTGTGAATGTACTTAATGCCACTGAATTTATATACTTAAAAATGGTTTAAAAGATAAATCTTGTGAATATCTTACAGCAATTAAAAAAAATTGTGCCCAGAATATATTAAAAGCGTATAGAGTCTCTAAAATAAATGTCTGAATCTCTAAAGGATAAATAATGAAATAGTTTGATATAAGTGTTTTTCAAACACTTTTTTCAAAATGTTTCATTATTTATCCTTTAGAGATTCAGAAAATTGAGATGCAAGGAGATTAAATCAGGAGTTGGCACTTAATACTGTTAGCAAAAATGATAAACCAATGTTTATTTATAAGATTGAAAGAAATAATAAACCACACATACCAGTTCAGAAAAATTTCAGAGTACTTTGGGCATATGATTCATCCTCTTAAAAGGGAAATTTAAGAATATGAGAGAACTTCAAAAAGTTCACAGAATTAAAGTACCCATTTATTCTGGTGAGCAATTTTTAAATACATGCAATGTTTCTTCATAATATGCATTTCCATTAATTTTCTAAAGACCTGCATACACATTAGAGCTCATTTTAAAAAATGTGTATCCTTTGAGTCAAGTAATAAAGCTGAAAGCAAAGATATTTACAACAGGATTTTGTTTTACAATAGGCAAATTCCCAAGAATTTTGGAATGGTTAAATTAATTATAGCATATTAACTGTGAAATAGCATGAGACCACTTTTTAAAAAGTAAACAAGAAGGCCACACAGATACACAGAAGTCTGTATAAAAAATAATGACGTGAAGGAAGAACACATACCTATGCTGCACAATTATAACTGTATGAAATGAAAAGGACACACGCTATGTGCCAGACATCAAACCAAGCACTCTGTGTGTTTTATATCATTATTCTTCATAATGACGTATGAGATATATACTCTTGCCCTAATTCGTAAGTGAATAAACGGGGCCGGCAACTCACTGGGTCTTTACGTATATATTATACACAAGGACTTGGGATATGACCACATGTGACTCCTGACTGATGCGTGTGGATATGACATTTAAGGAAGGAGTTAAGAGGTATAATTTTGGGGGCAAAATTTTCAATCAAGAATGAGAAAGTAAATCATCTCACAGAAGTTACAATGAAGTGCTATACCATTAGTCTATTTCTCAATTCCACCACTTCTAAAACTTAGCACATTTATATAGACAGGCTGCCATTCACTCTTATTTTATGAAAATGAATACTCTACAGTTGTGACAACACACCAAAACCACCTGGAACTCCAGTTTTGCCCCAAATGTCTTTTTCATGCATGACTGCAGTGCACAGCCAAAGAGCCTGCTAAATAAATCATGTATGTCTGTAAACGCGCTTCCTGGAGGCCTGGCTCCCCACAGCCACCATCTTGGAATTGGACCTTACAGTTCTCACAGTTGTGCACTGAGGGATGAAGATGTCCTCATTCACGTCCCCTTCTAGTCCCACACTGTGCCAGAAAGGAGCTTCTGCCTGCTCCTGCAGAGAAGGATCTATCTGTTCCCTTTGAATAGACACTAATGTGCCTAGGCTACCTGTGAGGTAAAGGCGTACTATCTTCACAGCAAAAAGGGGAGAGAGGGAAGCCAAGGCCTTCATATTCTAATGGGCAGAAATTTCTACACTATAACCGCTGCTCTTCACAGATGAGTTTTAGAAATGGTTTGGGCATTCAGATACACCATCATAAAATATTACCAAGGCGATCTGGGGTTAGAGACACTTGGCTTTCTGAAAACATGGCTGGCACCTACCTCATCTGCTAGAATATAATGATCCTGGAGATAAGGACAATAACCAAAGGCACCTAAAATGCAGGCAGGGAAAATATAGGCCTGTTTTGCTTTTGTTTTTAGGTTTTTGTCATAGGGTGTGAGTGTGCTCGCTGGAAAGGAGACAGAGAAAGGGAAAGCAAGGAGAGGAGATGGCCACGTGCAATTCTTTTCCTCCATTCTCTCAGTATTTGAGGCACATGTGTACATGCGCCCAGCATGATTTTCAAGCCACTGGATCTAGGACTTGAAGAGTGGTTGGCCATGGGACCAGGAGGTAGCGTAATGGCTATGTCACTAGCCTCCCATGTAGTCGACCGCGGTTCGAGTCCCAGACACAGTGGTTTAAACTCACGCTGAGCACGTGTGCAGGCATGCCAAAGATCCCGAGAGGAGAATGGAGGAGAAGGGATTGTGGCGTGGCCATCCCCCCAGGGGGTGATTTCTCACTTTCTGTCTCTCTGTCTCTCTCTGTCTTCCTGGTGAGCACACGTGCCCTGTAGCAAAAACCTCTCCAAAAAAAAAAGGAGTGGTTGGCGATGTGGGAAACCAGTTGCCTTAACCATCACACCACCTGCTGGCCCCACACAGACCCATTTAAATGTCCACAAAGAGTGACTTAAAGACCATCACCATAGAAAGTCAACTTACCATTAGTTTTTACAAGAAGAGCAGAGATGGTTGAGGGAAACCACTCTTATGATAACATAGCGTCTGGAAGAATCAAGTGGTTGGTGTCTCAGCCGCTGTATCTGGGAAACAACTAGTTCCAAAAGCCAGTGTTCCTTCCCCTTCGTAAACACTGGCCTACCTCCACGAGTGACTGATATTGCAAAGAAAAGCATACCGACTGGTGCTCACACAGCTGCCTATGGGTCCCTACAACACAGTCCACGGCCCCCACCTCACTCTCTCCTTCACCGATGAGAAGGCGAGGCCATGCTACTGCTGTATGTTCTAGCACTCAGACATGGTAGTTGGCACAGGAGCACCAGGTGAGTTGAGACAACAGCCACTAGGATGCCTCACCTGCAGCACATTCTGATTCCCAAAACTCGGGACCAGCAGTTATCGTAATGGCTATGTCACTGGACTCCCACGTAGTCGACAGCAGTTCAAGTGCCAGAACCGGTGGCTTAAACTCACGCCAGGCACGTGTGCATGCGTGCCCAAGATCCTGAGAGGAGAATGGAGGAGATCACCTCCTAAGGGGTGATTTCTCGCTTTCTATCTCTCTGTCTCTCTCTGTCTTTCTGGCGAATGCACACGCACTATAGAAAAAAAAAAAACCTCTCCAAAACTCAGGGCAAGCTGGTTAACTCAGTTCCTTTGGGGAGGTCCCAAATTCCAGGGAGGAAGTCAGGCCACCATGCTCATCATAACCCTTGCTGAACACAGCACTCCACCCTGCAGTCCATTGCAGTCAACAAGGTAACCAGGCACCATAAGCTACCATCAGGGACTCGGAAGTCTCTACCCAGTGCGGCCACAGAACAGTAAGTTAGCATCATTAACCCAAACAGATTTCTTCTATTCAATACATTTGTCACACACAGGTTAGTGGCAATGCAATGACAATGCTCATATGGAGACAAATGTCCTTCATGTCATAGCTCTGCTATCACAAGCATATGAAACATTATTTCAATGTCACTAATCAACATAAACACCTGTATTCCCTTACCCACTGCCTATCAAAACAAACATCTATGTCCCTTCCCAACTTCCCCAAATTAAAACAAATTACAGATGGCATAGTGGTTATATTGCTAGACTCCCACATAGTCAACCACGGTTCGAGTCCTGGACCTGGTGGCTTAAAACTCACGTAGAGCACGTGTGCATGTGTGGCCCAAATCCTGATGTCTGACAAGTGCGCATACCCTACAGCAAAAAACTCTCCAAAAATAAAGAACAAATCAGCAGGCCAGCAGGCAGCATGGTGGTTAAGGCAATGAACTCCCATGTGGCAGACTGTGGTTCAAATCCCGAACCTGGCAGCTTGCTTTGTCACTCTCTCTTGCATGCACATATGCCAAATTTTTAAAATAATAATAAATAATTCTTTTAAAAAAAAGACAAATTACCAAATGACAGGAAGTCATTACAGATTTAATAATCTCCAAGAAGTTCAAAAAAATTAATTTTCCCCTTCATTTTTCCTTTCTGACACTCTCCTGATAAGAAAAACAGGACCAAAAAATAATCTGTTTGAAATTAAGTCCTTCTCTTTCCACTTAAAGGGAAGCAGAGCCCAAGGCAGAGAAATTCCACATGGATATGGACAGGACTGTCTCCCCTCAGTTGGGACCGTCCACAGCACAGTCCTCAGTGGGATCTGCCTTTAGCCCTGGTCAGCATCCCAGTCCATTCACTTGTCCTGCCATCTTGCCCAAGTCACTCCTTAGCAACAATGCATAGTCCTCTGCTCCCTATTTCTGATTAATTCCTTAAATTAGGGAAATAAAACTTGTCTTATACAAATAACATATCCTCCATAAATAAAATCCAATTGTAATAAGCAATGAATAGAAAAACAGCTCTTTTTATTGTTGTGCAAAGGAATATTTTAGAAGAGCATGGTAATATGGAGACAGACTCTGGCTACCCAGAATAAGCCAAAGATAAAAGAAAATGGGTCACTGGAAAGAATGACAGATTCAAATCCACCATAGTTCTGGAGGCTTCTCTCACCCACCCTTCGTTTTGAGTCGGTAGGCAGAGTCCCAACTCCAGGTTAGGCCAGGTGAGGGCCCACTGCTGTGGTCCAGGCAGGTGTGCTGTGCTATCACTCACCTGTGCCATTGGCCAAGCCACTGTGGCTTGCGTTCTTGATGGGCTGCCGATGCCGGTTCCTAGAACCAGGGCTGTGCTCTCCAGTTGCTGTGGGTGTTCTGGCTGAACCACCTGGATGTCTGTGCGTCCTGGGGGTTCAAAGTACAGAGCAGACAGATTTAAGTCACTGAGAACAAGGATATCCTACCCAAATCATCAAACTCCCTCTCTTGCTATTTATTGGAAACCTTTAATAACCCCTCTAGTTTTTGACTCAACAGACGCTGCTCTAAGCAGAGAGACCCAGGGAAGCTTCCTTCTTGGGAAAAGCCCAGAAGGCAACTTTGTGTAAACTTTTCCACTTGAAGTAAACAAATCTGAGGTGAATTGCCCCCACTTCTGAAAAAACTGGCAAAATATCCTGTGACCATTGCATTATTTTTATTGGGCTCAAATGTTAGAAATAAACAAGAATCACTAGACAGGAAATAGTTCTCCCATTAGGCAAAAAGAGCCCAAAACTTAACCAAATCCATTTTCTCTGTGACTAGAATGACTCCCAAGGAACTAAAAGTTGATTAATACAAAGCATTAGACAACTTCAGTCAACATGTTATATCTCGAAAAAGTTAGCCAACAGTCCAAGTAAGTGAGAAACAATGGGGAGCAATGGGTCTAAATCACACTGGGTGTAAATCATAAAGAAAAGGATAAGATCTAGCAGCAGAAAAGTCTACCTGACATCAGATAATACCCATTTTACAGGTAATAAAACAGAGAAGTTCTATAGAAAGTAAACAAACAAAAACAATTCAAATCCAAGGAGTTTGACCTCAAGAGCCCATGATCTTTGTTCATTTGAAATGTATTAATTTATCTCATAAGCAAGAAAGACACAGAGAGAGAGAGACGGAGAGAGTGAGAAAGAGAGTAAGAGAACACCCAACACAGTCCTGACTGTCATGATCCACACCCGGCCTTCAGCCAGCCCTATCATGGGCACGCGCGTGCCCAACATACTCAGAGAGGTCTCCAGGCTTAAACCAGGAAACTTCCTTGTGGGTCAGCACTGCAGTGTGTGATGTTTTAACCCTGCACCACCATCTGGTCAGCCCATGCTCTCGGGTTGGAGGACAGGGATCCCTGGATGTAAGCTAAATTCCGCATGGACTATTCTTTTACCAGTCACTTGGCCTGTGGTGAGATGAAGATACAGAACAGAAAGCGTGCCCTGGGAATATGCACACCCACCAGAACAGCCCTGCTGGTGTCAGGCGTCTGGTCCAGTGTGTTGGGACAAACTTACAGCACAATCCAAAGGAGGTTCCTAGGGAACTATGAAACACCCCGCCCCCCACCCAGTGACCTCCTCTAGCCCAAGAAACAGATTTTTCTGACAAGACGGACAGAAACCCAAATGTTTAGCAGTGGTTATCCAAAGATGCTGGAAATACAGACATTTCAGCTTCACCCTGTGTGCTCGTCTAGATTCTTCTAGTTCCCTTCATTGAGCCTGTATATACTCTTGAGTAACGGGAGAAAACACAAAATGTTTAAAAAGAAAAAAAAAATTTTTTTTGACCCAACAAAAACAAGAAAGAAAGAAAGAAAGAAAGAAAGAAAGAAAGGGAAAGAAAGAAACCTATGAAATTCCGCAGTCCTTCATATCCAAAGACTGCGTGGCAGTTAAAAATGGAGCGGGGGTATGGCTCAACTATGGAAATAAAGATTCAATTTGGACTCTCTTTTTCCATCTTATTTTTCCCTGAGCTAATTTCATAAATCAAAAGCTGTCAACCACACCTCAGTCAAAGAAAAATATTTCAAAGTCCCCACTTCATGGGAAGAAATGCTAGTATTAAGCATTTTACCACAACTCATCGAAAGCAGAACGCGCACAGAGTTCCAAAGGGAAAGGCGGCCCTTAGCAAACTGGCAACCATGTGTACATGTGTGCATACGTGTTGAGGGCACAGGGCTCCAGGGAGAGAAAATTGGTTAATAGAAGGTTTATTTCAGCCAAGAATCCCCTTACGAGGACAAAAAAGCCTCTCTGGTTTGGGACGTGCAGCCCCCAGGAGAGGGCTATATCCCTTCAGGAGCACAGAAGAGACAACATCAACATCAATTCTGTCAGCCGCACAGGCCCTGAGAGTCCCTGATTACTTCCAGTCCCCAGGGCCGCATGTCCCTCTGCAGAGCAGCTGGGCATGACAACAGGGTGAGGCCCATTACTCTCCTGGCTCCTCCCTCCCTTCCCCAAAAGGGCATGCGGTCAGAGTTGAGAGAGAATACTTTCAGAAATGTTTAACCACTAATGATAGCAGCTTACCCTGAATGACAGGCTGGAGCAGGGCCGGGATTAGCCCGTAAACCAGGGGCAGCTGGGACCACTTTGCGTGAATTGCTGCCTCCTTGCCCATGGCCAGCCGCCACCCCCGCTGCCGCCTCCTCCTCCCAACACCACACCACACACACACACATACCCTTTCCCCAGATTCTCCTGCTGCCCTAAATATGGAGTTTACTCTTGTGTTAACTTTTAAAACAAAACATTCAGAAGAAAAAGAAGAAAGAAGGCCTCAACATTTGGGGAACATCTTCTCATCAACACTTTCCTCTCTTCGAGGATTCACTCTTAAAAGATGGGATTGTGTCGTGATTAAAAGTTGGCCCAAGTGCTGAAACCACACACCATAAGCCAAAATAGCACCAGGACAAATGCGGGGTGATGGGATGGAGATGTGCCATGCTCCACCACAGCCGGCCTGGCTTCAGCTCCACCAGTGACTTCAACTTTGGCTTGTTCTCTCCCACCATTTGGGGGACAGTCAGAAGAGAGCTGAAGGGCCACACCAGTCAGGCCAAACTCCACAATTGGTTTCAAGTCACCTAGTTACAGAAATTCAGCTCTCTTTATGGCATGCCATTTTCAGAATGCTGGTGTGTCCTCACCTAAGTCCCTCCCCTCAGGAACTTAGGTCTGCCTAAGGAAAGCCAATCAATGCCAAGGCTCTGGGATTCTCCGTGCTTCTCAGGGCAGGTTCGAAGCAGATGAGGTCTCAGGAGAGGGCTCTTGGCTGCCCCTTGCCATTTAAATTCTGATATTTGCAGCACTGGCCTCAGCTGCACCCTGACAGCCAGAGCCTTGGATGTCTCAGACATCCGCCTCGCCCTTCATGAAGGCCAATGGACTGTGCTCAACTGTTATTGTCTGAGTACAAGGTCCTGTTTTAGGGCTGGCACAAATTAGAATCCCTGACCTCAGGGGGTTTACACTTTAGCAGAAGCACATTGATGTGTAATTTTGCTCAGACACAAGTTTACACCAGACTATGCAATGCTGATTTGTGGGAGCCACATGGCTAGTGAGTGAGCCTAGCTAACTACTAAGCATTGTCACCTCAGCACAGCTTGCAGACACGGTGTATATTGAGCAAATGGGTTATGTGGAGTAATTAAACAAAACAAAAATCTTGTTTCTTTGGTTAAGAAGAGGAAGTATGGGGCCAGCAGATGGCTTGGAGGTTAAGGCAGTTGGATCCCACATGGCCGACCATATAGTTCGTGCACACCCAAGAGAGAAGAATGGAAGAGAAGGGATTGTGGCATGGCTATCCCCTCTAGGTGGTGATTTCTCTCTCATGTGCACATGCCCTAGGGCAAAACTAAAAAATCAAAAGCTGTCAACCACACCTCAGTCAAAGAAAAATATTTCAAAGTCCCCACTTCATGGGAAGAAATGCTAGTATTAAGCATTTTACCACAACTCATCGAAAGCAGAACGCGCACAGAGTTCCAAAGGGAAAGGCGGCCCTTAGCAAACTGGCAACCATGTGTACATGTGTGCATACGTGTTGAGGGCACAGGGCTCCAGGGAGAGAAAATTGGTTAATAGAAGGTTTATTTCAGCCAAGAATCCCCTTACGAGGACAAAAAAGCCTCTCTGGTTTGGGACGTGCAGCCCCCAGGAGAGGGCTATATCCCTTCAGGAGCACAGAAGAGACAACATCAACATCAATTCTGTCAGCCGCACAGGCCCTGAGAGTCCCTGATTACTTCCAGTCCCCAGGGCCGCATGTCCCTCTGCAGAGCAGCTGGGCATGACAACAGGGTGAGGCCCATTACTCTCCTGGCTCCTCCCTCCCTTCCCCAAAAGGGCATGCGGTCAGAGTTGAGAGAGAATACTTTCAGAAATGTTTAACCACTAATGATAGCAGCTTACCCTGAATGACAGGCTGGAGCAGGGCCGGGATTAGCCCGTAAACCAGGGGCAGCTGGGACCACTTTGCGTGAATTGCTGCCTCCTTGCCCATGGCCAGCCGCCACCCCCGCTGCCGCCTCCTCCTCCCAACACCACACCACACACACACACATACCCTTTCCCCAGATTCTCCTGCTGCCCTAAATATGGAGTTTACTCTTGTGTTAACTTTTAAAACAAAACATTCAGAAGAAAAAGAAGAAAGAAGGCCTCAACATTTGGGGAACATCTTCTCATCAACACTTTCCTCTCTTCGAGGATTCACTCTTAAAAGATGGGATTGTGTCGTGATTAAAAGTTGGCCCAAGTGCTGAAACCACACACCATAAGCCAAAATAGCACCAGGACAAATGCGGGGTGATGGGATGGAGATGTGCCATGCTCCACCACAGCCGGCCTGGCTTCAGCTCCACCAGTGACTTCAACTTTGGCTTGTTCTCTCCCACCATTTGGGGGACAGTCAGAAGAGAGCTGAAGGGCCACACCAGTCAGGCCAAACTCCACAATTGGTTTCAAGTCACCTAGTTACAGAAATTCAGCTCTCTTTATGGCATGCCATTTTCAGAATGCTGGTGTGTCCTCACCTAAGTCCCTCCCCTCAGGAACTTAGGTCTGCCTAAGGAAAGCCAATCAATGCCAAGGCTCTGGGATTCTCCGTGCTTCTCAGGGCAGGTTCGAAGCAGATGAGGTCTCAGGAGAGGGCTCTTGGCTGCCCCTTGCCATTTAAATTCTGATATTTGCAGCACTGGCCTCAGCTGCACCCTGACAGCCAGAGCCTTGGATGTCTCAGACATCCGCCTCGCCCTTCATGAAGGCCAATGGACTGTGCTCAACTGTTATTGTCTGAGTACAAGGTCCTGTTTTAGGGCTGGCACAAATTAGAAT